AGGAGGGAAGCCCCAAAGGAAACTCATTAGAGTAGCCTATCTTAAGTTGTTCTGACCCTGGGATCAGGGATTAGGGAGTCTGTGAACCCCTGAAATTATAATACATAATTATATGTGTATGTGGAAGATGATCACATATTTAGATAGGTTTTTCACTGAGTTCCTGACCCTAAAAGGTGAAGAATCTCTGCAGTATCTGAAGACAGAAGATCAGGGCAGGGGCAAAGGACTTCACAGGCACTTGAGGCTGAGAGTGAGGCTCGGGGAGAGAAAGCAGAGGGAAAACGGGCCCAGAAGTCAGGGCAAACTTGCCTGAAACTGCTCTCGTTAAGGTCACCAATAACTTCCGTCTTGCTAAATCCAACCATCAGTTCTCAGTACTCCCCTCACTTGACTTATCAGCCAACTGGCCTGACTGATCACTGCTTTCGCTCGAAATGCTTCCTTCAGTGGCTTCCAGGACAAATTCTCCTAGATGGTTCCTGCCTCACTGGACTGACGGCTCCTTCTTCAGCCTCATCTCCTCTCTGCTGGGTTCTCATCTCCTCCCTGACTCCCAACCTTTGGAAGTTTCTAGAGCTCTTCTTCTGTTCTCTATAAACATTTACTTCCTTGGTGACAGTATTCAGTCCCACAGATTTAAATAACACCTACATCGTACAGGTTCTCACATTTCTCTTCATGTATACCTCTAAGCTCAACAGTGCTTCAGAATTCCACATTCAGAAACAAACCTGCCTACCCTACAACTCCCCTTGGATGATTTAAAAGACATCTTGGACTTTCCAAAACTCAGCTTTTCTTTCCCCTGCCCTCCCCTTTCCCCACCAACTCCTCCCCCAGGCTCCCCATCTCAATGAAAGGGACCTCCAGGCAAGAATGCCAGAAATCCAGAATCTTCTCTTGCCTCATGTGACACCACATGCTTCCCTGCATTTCTGCTGCTTTATTTTTTGTTTGTTTTGTTAACTTTTTATTTTATATTGAAGTATAGTTGATTTACAATGTTGTCCTAGTTTCAGGTGTACCACAAAGTGATTCTCTTACACATACACATGGATCTATTCTTTTTCAAATTCTTTTCCCAGCTAGCTTGTTACAGAACATTGAGCGGAGTTCCCTGTGCTGTACAGTAGGTCTTTGTTGTTTATCCATTTTAAATCAGAAGACATACAGATGGCAGAGTGTCACATGAAAAGATGTTCAACTAACATTGCTAATTATTAGAGAACTGCAAATCAAAACTGCAGTGAGATATCGCCTCACAGCAGTCAAAATGGCCATCATCAAAAAATTCACAATGAACAAATTCTGGGGAAAAGGAAGCCCTCCTACATTGTTGGTGGGAATGTAAATTGGTGCAGTCACTACCGAGACAGTATGGAGGTTCCTTAAGAAACTAAAAATAGAGCTACCATATGGCCCTGCAACCCCACTCCTGGGCATATACTGGAGAAAAACATGGTCCCAAGGGATGTATGCCCCCCACTGTTCACTGCAGCGCTGCTTACAGAAGCCAAGACACGGGAGTGATCCAAATGTCCAGCTACAGAAGGATGGACAAACAAGATGTGGTCCATGTATATATGTATGTACATATATGTGCATCACATATAAATATGTATGATGGAATATTACCCAGCCATTAAAAAGAATGAAATAATGCCATTTGCAGCAACCTGGATGGATCTAGAGATTGTCATACTGAGTGAAGTAAGTCAGACAGAGAAAGAGAAGTATCATATGATATTGCTTATGTGCAGAATCTTAAAAAATGATATAAATGAACTTATTTACAAAACAGAAACAGACACACACACTTAGGGAGTTTGGGGGCTTTGTGTGTTTTTTGTTTTGGCCTCCCCATGCAGCTTGCTGCATCTTGGCTCCCCGATCTGGGATCAAACCTGTGCCCTCAGCAGTGGAAGCACAGAGTCCTAACCACTGGATTGCCGAGGAATTCTTTCTCCTACTTTAGAATCAGAATGGCCATCATCAATTCTGAGGCCTAAGTGAGATCACCTGGTCAGTCCCATGTCCTTCGTGGTTATTAAACATGGGGTGGTGAAACCAACCTGGAGTTTCCCATCGTTCCACAAAATGGACCCCAAATTGGGGCAATTGAAATGTGACCAGCGACCAACCCGTCTTACTCGAAATCTCAGCCGTGGCAGTCTCCCAGAGGAGGCCTGGAGGAGCAGAAACACAAGTGATGTGAGACCGTATGTTGCATCTATCTTAGGAGAAGCCGAGTAGGGGACGTGCGTGAGGTGGAGGTTGTGAAGGTAGAATGTGAACCAATCAGAAGAGTAACATGGGGGACTTCCCTGGCAGTCCAGTGGTTAAGATTCTGTGCTCCTGATGCAGGTGACATGGGTTCAATCCCTGGTCGGGGAACTAAAATTCCGCATGTCACAAAGCACAGGCAAAATAATAATAGTAATTTTAAAAAAAAAGAGTAACATGGAATTCAGGCTGAACCGGAGAAAGGCGACAATTCCCCTGCAGGGTGCAGTCACCATCCTCAACAGGGTGCTGGCACCTAAGCCGACGGCTCTGCTAATGACCTGCAACAGGGGAAAGGAAAGGGCCAGGATGTGTCTTCCCAGTATCCCAGAAAGGCACTGGGGTGAGCACTCATTATAGAACGCTAAAAAGGAGCAGATGACAGGCTTGAAGCTCTCATTGCTGTTATTTCTGTTTCACTGTGTAGTTCTGTCATTTATATTTCTAATACAATTTAAGAGGCAGCTGGTCCCTGTAAAGCAATATCTCCCTGAAAACATATATGGTCTCCCTAAGGACAGGCTACAGCAGACAGAAGGTACAAAGTTCATCATTTTCCTGCTCTTTAGCTCATTTCCAGGCACTGTGGGTCTAGGTCTTGGCATTTATAAACCAGGTGAAGGATCTACTTTTCCAGAATGTTTCTTCTGTGCCCAGGTGGAAGCAGTGTCTCTCTTTCTGCTCTTTATCCAGCTGTCTGCTAAAATTCTCATGCTTTTCTACCCTTTATTCTAGTTACTTTTTGTGCCTCTAACTTCTCTTCGCTTAGAGTTTGGTTTTATGGAGGGCAAGGTCTGTCTGGCTAATCTGTCTTTGATCAAAGACAGGGATTCTGTCTTTGATTCCCTGGTATTTGTCACCGTGCCTGACACCCACAGATACTCAATAATTGCTGGGTAAAAGAAAAGAAAATTTAAGGCAGAGACTACCTTGAATGGTGCTCATGGTAGAAATAGCTCCCCCATTTCCAGTGCTTATTATATGTTAAGCTTTAAGCTAACCATTTTATGTCTGATTCCAAAGTCAGACAGATGATAGCAACCTATGTGGAATGATGTGAAGGGTTCCTGAAAGCCTTCTGCCAGTCTGTTTGAAATGCCTACGAGGAGTTTGAAGTAGGACAAATTGAAAGACAAAATTGTTTAGGAAACACAGACCATGTTAATATATTAATTTTGATTGAGAATGTATTTGTTTTCAATTAATGAATGGTCTTAGTCCATTCAGACTGCTGTAACAAAATACCATAGACTGGGTGGCTTATAAATAATAGAAATTTACTTCTTCTAATTCTAGGGGCTAAAAGGCCCAAGACCAGGGTGCCAGCATGATCATGGTTGCAGAATTCTGGTTGTGTCCTCATATAACAGAAGGAAATCAACCCTGAATATTCATCGGAAAGACTGATGCTGAGGCTGAAACTCCAACACTTTGGCCAGCTGATACAAAGAGCTATTGGAAAAGACCCTGATGCTGGGAAAGAGGAGAAGGGGGCCACAGAGTATGACATGGTTGGGTAGCATCACCAATTCAATGGACATGAGTTTGAGCAAACTCCAGGAGACAGTGAAGGACAGGGAAGCCTGGTGTGCTGCAGTCCATGGGGTCACAGAGAGTTGGACATGACTTAGCGGCTCAACAATAACTGCCTCATGAGCTAATGGCTTCCCAAAAGCCCCTCCCTCTAATACTGTCACTTTGGGGATTAGATTTCAACATAAGAATTTGGGGGGACACATTCATATACTATTTACATTCATATGCAAATCATATTCTCAGTTGTTAATTAATATTGTTTGAGAACTTATTATTTTCAAAGATCTGTTTTAAGAGCTTCACAGGTAGCATTTTTCACAACCCCATGAGATAGGTATTAGTCCTGTCATGATTCAGTAAATGAGGAAATTGAGATACAAAATTCAGTACTTTGTTCCAGTTCTCACAGCTAGTAGGTGAGGGGTTCCCAGACTACGGGCCCAGGCAGTCTGGTGCCAGGACCTACACCCCTGACCACTCTCCTATGACAGTCATTTCCTGGAGAGGGCATCAAAGTCCTAAGAAAATGGGACATGATTTCTTAGAGAGGAGTATGCAAAACAGCTGTGTATGATGAGGAACAGGAGCTGGAAGGTGTGAAACATGAACACAGCTTTAAGAAACTTCTGAGTTAGCACGCTGAGCTCCTGGTGTGAGTCAGCTGGACACTGTGGGTGAGGCAGCCACTCGGCGGTGCCGCTCGGATCTCCCTTCAAGAGAACCTCCTTGGAACAGGGTCTTTGGGGAACAGCCTCCAGCTGCTACATACTTAGATCTTCCCAAGCACTCAGGTTGAGGCCATGCTCTCCCTGGGCTGTTCACATCAGTACCGCAGCCTGACGTCCCTGGTCCATGCCGGTGGAGAATATTTCAGTGGGGCTCCCCATCGGCCGGGCTGAGACCCTCCGCTCTCACGCAGAGCTCCTGCCGTCCCGCTGTCCTTCCCCAGGTGTCAGACCAGCCTCAGGGGCTGACGGCCACCCCCTCACTCCTGCTCCTCTGCCCCTGTATCCCTCACAGGCGCTCCCCCCAATAAATCTCTTACCTGTCTGATTCTGTCTTGGCATTTACTTCTAAGAGGATCCAAGCTGACACAATGAAAGAAGTAAAAGAAAAGCAGGGGAAAATGAGTCTGTTAGCCTGTGTGGATGGCTATAACAAAATACCCTAAAGTAATATGGCTTAAACAGCACAGATTTATTTCTCAAAGGCCTGGAAGCTGGGAAGTCTGAGATCAAGATGCTGGCAGATTCAGTGAGCACCGTCTTGCTGGTTTGCAACAACAGCTAGTGAGAACCCTCTTCCTCATTTGCCACAGCGACCTTCTTGCTCCACCCTCACATGGCCCTGAGATCATCTGTCTCATTCCTCTTCCTTTTCTTAAGAGTTGAGATTTTCACCTAGGAGATACAAAGTATATACAAAATTACGATGAATACATGCTGGAGAGGGTATGGAGAGAAGGGAACCCTCCTACACTGTTGGTGGAAATGCAAATTGGTGCAGTCAGTACAGAGGCCCCTTAAGAAACTAAAACAGAGTTACCATCAGACTCTGCAATCCCACTCCTGGGCATCCACCTGGAGAAAAACATGGTCCAAAAGGATGCACGCACCCCCAATGTTCAATGCAGCACTGTTTACAATAAGCAAGACACGGAAGCAATCTAAATGGCCGTTGACAGAGGAATGGATAAAGAAGATATGGCACATATACATAATGGAATATTCCTCAGCCATTAAAAAGAATGAAATAAGGCCATTTGCAGCAACATGGATGGACCTAGAGATTGTCACTCAGTGAAGTCAGACAAAGAAGAAGAAAGAGCATATGCAATCCCTTACATGTGGGACTTAAAAAGAAATGATACTAATGGACTTAATTACAAAACTCACAGACTTAGAGAATGACCTTACGGTTGCCATGTGGAAAGAATGGGAGGAAGGGATAGTAGAGAGTTTGGTATCGACATGTACACACTACTATATTTAAAATGGATAACCCTATGGCTATTTCATGTTGATATATGACAGAAACCCATACAGCATTGTAAAGCAATTATCATCCAATTAGAAATAAAGCTAGAAAACCAATGCAGCCAAATAAGTAAATAAATGTTTAAAAAAATAAAATGGATAATCAACAAGGTCCTCCTGTAGAGCTCAGGAAACCCTATTCAATGTTATATGGCAACCTGGATGGGAGGGGAGTTTTGAGAAGAATGGATACATGTATATGTAATGGTAAGTCCCTTTGCTATAAACCTGAAATTATCACAACATTGTTAATTATACTGTAATATAAAATAAAAAGTTTTTAAAAAAAGAGTTGAGATTTTATTTAAGGAAGCCAAAGTGTATACAAAATTACGATGAATATAGTGAATATTGTAATAATTATCATAACAACAATACAAATAATGTTTTGAAAATTTTTTTCATGCTTACTTTTTAAAAAACTTTTTAATTTAGATTGAAGGATGGACAGTTAACAATGTTGTGATAGTTTCAGATGGACAGTAAAGAGACTCAGCCATACATATATGTGTATCCATTCTCACTCCTCTTCTTATAAGGTGCTAATCCCATTTATGAAGGCTCTATCCTCATAATTTAATTACCTCCCAAAGGCCCCACCCCTAATACATCACATTTCATATTAAGACATGTTGACGGTTGTCAACATACGGCTTTTGGAGGACCATGAATATTCCATCTATTCCACCCTTCTCTTGTTTTGACTATAATCTACTTGTGTTTAAATAGATATACAAGAGACCATTAAGAAACAACCCAAGACATCCTGTGATTTCTGAAATGTATTTATAATTTCCTCTCTTTCCTAGAAAAGCTGGGTAGTGCTTACAAAAATACATATGACCCCCCAAGGGGAAAAAGGGGTGGAGGGACTCCAGGAAAAGGAAAAATAGGGCTGGTGAGTGCCCAGCAGATGAAAGGCGGAAGCAGGTGGGGCCCAGGGGTCTGCACAAACCACCTCGGAACTCCCTAGTGACCCAGCTAAGAGGGGCTCCTGGCCTCAGCAGGGCTCACGAAGTCTGTCAGGTGAAACCAACCCACTTCTTCCAGAAGAGGCACTGCTTCTTCAGCTGCCAGGACCTACCTATGCCACGGACTAGACAGCCAAAGTTTCCTTGCTACTCCCTTGCTCTAGGGGATGGCCCAGCATCGCCTGGTGCCTTGCCTGGGCTCACCCAGCCAGGAAGGGGCAGAGAATATCTAAGCCATTAATTTAAATAAGATCAGGCGTATATACGGAAAGGTATGGTTGTGCTGTGGGCTCAAATTTCAGGCCTGGCTTAGTCATCACTAAGAATTTGGCTTGAGAAAAGCAAATTTGTGGGGGGCAACACTGTCCACAACCACCCACCCTCACCAGGCATCGTAGTAACCGCCTGCATGAGGTCCTGGTGAGAAACACAGAGCTGACGAGCTACCACCCACTGGAAGAATTCAGAAAGGCCAAAAGAGGCACCAGACACCGCCTATCCTAGCAGCCTCCCAGGACCCTTCTCGCTGGAATCCGTCTTGGCCGAGGGATGCGTGCCACCAGGAAGGACCCTGAGAGCGCTTGGTTAGCGAGGATCCTGAAACTGACACCGTCAGCGTAAAACCCGAGACACGAGTCTCGGCCGCGCAGGCCTCCTGGGCTCCCCTCACCCTGCGGCCCTCCGCCCAGCCTCCTTTCCTAACAGTCTCCTGCTTTGTCAGGACGTGTCTCCTCAGATCAGTCATGTCTTAGTGTTAGACAAGAGCCCATCTCAGGCCCTGGAAGGGGTCCCCCTTCCTGCAACAAGCCGTTTGATGGAGAACTCACGTAAGAGTTCTCACGTGAGGAAAGTGACAGGAATCTGGGGCCATTGAGTTATTTCTGTATCTCTCCAAGAATGCCATCGTCGTATCCATTTCACTGCCTCTCAGGCCCTGTCTCTCTGAAATGAAGGAATCAGAACGGAGGGGTATTTTTCATGGAGCATTATTTCCACATGAACTATTATTGTTATTAATCTCCCTTCAGGCTTCCGCAGTGGGAAACAGACAGTTCCTTCTTTTCGGTAAGGACTAAAGTAGATGAAAGAGGGAGTTAAAATGATGCTTTGGCTCCGCAGGACACAAGGCTTTTCTCTCTTTTTTCAGAACAAGACATCCCAGGAGAGGAAGTGAGCTTCGTAGAGATAGCAGGCACAGGGTGTGGGGAGGGAGCAGCCCCAGTGTTCCTTTCTGAGTTCCTGTTCAGGTGTCAAGGCCCATGGGCTGGGAAGACCCCTGCCCTTTTCCAAGCGTATGCTTGGCGTGATGTGTTTGACACTAAAGCAAGTCTGTACCGGAATTAAATCTCTGAGGCAGAGTTTTGGGTGAAGTAGAAAAGAATAGCTTCATTGCTTTGCCAGGCAGAGGGTCACAGAGAGCTAAGGCCCTCCAAACTGTCTGTCCCACCCCCGCCTGGAGAAGTTTTATAGTAATGGTTCAAAGGAGGCTTGATCAGTTCAAGGACTTTCTCCTGATGCGTGGATGCAGAGGTAAGTAGGAGTCCGCATTCACCATCCTGTTTCCAACTGGTCTGGGGTCTCTGTGCTTGTGGACAGAAAGTCCTTTTTTTTCCTTTTGGTGGATAATTTTTTTTTCCATTTATTTTTATTAGTTGGAGGCTAATTACTTTACAATATTGTAGCGATTTTTGTCATACATTGACATGAATCAGCCATGGATTTACGTGTATTCCCCATCCCGATCCCCACTCCCACCTCCCTCTCCACCCGATTCCTCTGGGTCTTCCCAGTGCACCAGGCCCGAGCACTTGTCTCATGCATCAAAGTCCTTTTTAACCGATAACTTCTCCCACCTGGTGGGGTTTCCGTGTCTGCAAAATGGCTCAGAGACTGTCGAGTTTATCCCTTGATGGGAAACGAGGACTTTGCCCCAAGGCAGCACCGTTGTTTCTCTAGACTGTTTTTCTCCCTGGTCTTGCAGCCTCTTCCTTCCCTAATTAACAACTGTTTGACTCTGCCAGTTGGAACTTGGAACACTGGGAAGGTCATAGAGGCTGAAAGAAGCCTGTTTCCTGTAATCAAAGAAATGGGAGACACAGAAAGGCTTTTGTGCCCAGGAGCCCCAGAGGGCTCTGCTTGGTACCAACATGGAAGGGATGATTGCACCAAATACTAACGATACTAGCTCCCAACACTCGTAAAGCACTTGGCATTGTATTGGGTTCTCATCTCATCCTGGGAGCGAGTTTGTCATCCCTCTGTGTGACAAAGGAAAACCTGGGCACAGTCTCCTAGGTCGATTCTCTTACTGAAGGTCACCCTGTTATGTGCTGGGACCAGAACTTGAACCCAAATACAGAAAACTGTGATCCTCACTGTTGGAGATTCGTCAGGGTTACAGGGAGCAAATGAGTAAAGGTGATATTGGGGGACGTAAGACTAGGAAGGAAGCACTGTCTGGCAGTCAGTCTAAGCAGTTAACAGTGGCACAATGTGGGCAAAGACTGTCCCCTGCCATTTCAGAAAATACAGGATGTCTGGCCATCAGCCATCCACCACTGCGGTGCCTGCCGCCACCCCATAGCGCACCCTGAGGGATGGAATATAACAGGATACTGGCCCTAGATAGTTAAGATGCGTATCAAAAGAATGATTTTTAAATGCCCAGACTCTTGCACCTCCCCGTACACAGAAAAGTGCTAGATTCATGACTTTGAGACGTCTGTCTTTTTGAGTATGTGTCATTAGCAGGAATCTTTTTCTTGCTTTACTACCTGGGCTTTTGTTGTTGCTTTTTACTTTTGCAAAAGCTCCTATATATCCTTGTTCCTCCTTACGTCTTTGGAACAGTCCCTCAGAGCAATCTGAGAGGCTGACATCCCAGGCTACAGTCATCAGTAAAGCCACTGAACAAAATATAATTTCCAACTTTGAGTCTGTACATTTTTTTTTTTTTTTGGTCAGTAATAGCTCCTTTTTATCGACCCAGAATATGAAGAGGTTATGAAGCAGACAAACAGAAATTCAGGCAAGCCAGACTTTTGGTTTTGCTTTCTCATTTTCTTTTGTTTGATTGTTTTTAAAGGGGAGAGGATAATGTATAGTTACTTGCCTTATTCAGGCCATTAAAAGTCAAATATTGAGCATCCATTAACTTTGAGGGGGTCAGGAAGTGAGAATAAGTAACACTAAGCTTCTGTGAGAGGCCTGAAGCTCCTAATCTAGGGTGGGAGGGAGTTATCCCTGGAGATTTCTGCTGTACCTAAACAGAAAATGCTGTGGACAGAGGGTCAGAAACATGCCTTTTGCCCCTGTGGGGGTTGGAAAGCTTCCTGATAGATGCAAGCTGGACCATGAGGGACGGGCATGACTTGGAAAGACAGTTTCGGAGGAGGGAGGTGGCCCTCGAGGGAAGAGGGACCGTGTGAGCGAGGGCTGGGAGCAGGGAGGCTGCTGGAACCTCTGAGAAGCTACCAGCAGACGAGCAGACCAACACAGGGGCTGAGGTAAGCGGTGATTATTCTCATCGTGAATGACAAAGTCACATTGGTGGCACCAGTGGTAAAGAACCTGTCTGCCCACGCAGGAGACACACAAGACGCAGGTTCGATCCTTGGGTCGGGAAGATCCCCTGGAGGAGGGTTGGGCCATTTCTTGCCTGGAGAATCCCACCCTAAAGTAGTTCATAGGGTCGCACAGAGTAAGACACAATTGAAGCAACTTAGTACATGCTAGATTCTTTTAGCTTCTTTTTAAGATTCTTTTCCATTATAGGTTATTACAAGATATTGAGTAACCGTTTCTAATAGAGTAGGATTTTCACAATCGGAGTCTTCAGTGCTGGAAGGGGTAAAAGTTAAAGGTCATTTCTCCTCTTGGCCAGCCTGCAGCACCTACGCCTCCCTCCTCATAACTCCACCCACCACCCTCCAGCTCACCCCTTCCCCCACTGGCTCTCTCACCATGCTGAAATCTGTGCCTTGGTCTGCAACCATCAAGGCTCCGTCCGCATCCACACAACAGCCATCTACACTAATAAACACAGGCTTCCTGCCCTTCTAACCAAGCCCTACATCTTCTTCTCTTGACTAAATGTGGGATTCTTTCAGCAGTTCCTGTTCCCCATTTTTCTTCTTTTCTCTCGTTCTCCTCTGAACATGTTCATTTATTTCTCCCAAAGTGCAGCTTTGGACAGCCCACCATGCCCACCTTCTCTGAGTGCCAGTAAGTGCTCCTCTGGGCCCTGGGATCACAGCAGTGAGGTAAGTAGACAACTTGTTGGTGGGAAGGGAAGGGGGAGTTGGGGCAGGGCAGGCGAGAACTGAGGTATGTTGATCATTTCCCAGATACCAGGCAGGATGCAAAGAGATTTACACAGGTTACATCTTATTGTTCCCAAATGGGACCATTATTCCCATTTTGCAGATCAGCAAACTGAGACTCAGGGAAATGAAATAGCTCAACCAAAGTCAAGTAAGTAGTGGAGCTCTGATTGGAGCCTGCCTCTGTCTGACTCCAGATAGATAGACAGCTGGGTCAGAAGACCAGCCCTGGTCTTGAACACCTTTGAATCTCCAAATTTAGAACAGCATCTTACATAAAATAGGTGCTCAGTTTTAAGCAGTTTTTAGACACACCCTCTAAAAGCACTGCCTCACTATTTATTATAAGCAAAACATATTCTAGCTCTATTTCCCACATATCTTTTTTCTTTTTCTTTTCCACTTCAAAGCCACAAACACCCCCCTCCCATCTCCCCCCTCTCCCGGCCCTCCATGAGCGATCTTCCAGTTGTCCCAGTATGCTGCTGGGCCCTGATGCTCTAGGGCTTCTGACAGCCTATTAAATGGTTATGTTCTGCCCTCACATGTTTTATGAGATTTTTCCAATGACCCAGCTCAGGAGATAATGGGAGGACAGATGTGGTTCATCAGGGGCTGACAGATGGGCCTGCAGCCTTTGGTGATTTTCAAGGGGAAGAAAACTGAAACTCAAGAGAAGGAGTTTGATTTTTATTTTTCCTCCTCCAATTTAGACAGCCTCAAACAACCCTGGCTTCTACAGCCTGACCAGTGTCCTAAGGGGCATCATCAGTTTCAATGGACTCTGGACCGGAGCCCCCTTGTAGCTGGTGACAGGACCGCCAGGATGAACCCAGTTCCTTCCTTCCTCACACCTGGCTCATCTCACCTCTTCCTTGAATCTTGGTCAATAAAGGGCAGTAAAATGTATCAACTCTGAGTGTTCACTTTCTTCCTAAGGCTCTGGAGCTTGGCTTTTCTACTTTTAAGGGTGAGTATGTTGTCTTTGGCAACTTTGTGAGATTGTTCCCCCTAAACTGAAACTTCTCTTCCTCCAAAAAGAGAGAAGAAATCAAGGAAGGGAAGGAGGGAGAGAGAACTAACATTTGGCAAACATTTAGGCTTTTTACATGCATATCATTTAAATGCCACAGAAATTAATGAAGAAATGGCAGCACTGCCCAAAGCCATGATGTTGGCAGAAGGTGGGGTGCTGGGTTGGATATGTCTGTTGAATGTGAGATTCTGGTTGACTGCTCAGCAGATGATTGGAAACAAAGAACTGAAGCTTGGGAAGTAGATGTAGATGGGGGGAAATAGAAACAGATGATCCAGAGATGGGGTTGTGGGGATCAGCCACATAAAGCCGTACTGTGGCTTCCTAAAAGAGTGTAACCCAGTGGAGCAACTCCATTCCATCTGTACCCAGCTGCACACCACCATGATCCATCAGCTGCAGAACTCTCAAAACTCAGGGAACTGTGCCTTTGCTATTCTGTGTGAGTCTTCCTCAGAGTGTTAAGGGTGGAGGAGGCTGCTAAGGGCAATAGGCAGGAGAGGCTTATATAGAGGTGACTATGAAATGGAAGGAAGGATGAGCGGCCAACCCTCTGGGAGGCCATACAAGAAGCATCCAAGTAAGGCACTTTCAAAAACGGAGGCAGCCAGGGGACAATAAGGCAGCGTCAGTCAGGGTCTGATGCCCATACCTCCATTATCCTGCACTGTGAGGGCTCATAATAACTTTGGAGCAACTGCCCAAATGTCTTCAGTAGAGCCCTGCTCAACTCCCCTAAATTTATTACAGCCCTGTTCATAGAGGGGGGGAAAATACAGATAAGGAATAGAAAAGAAAAATAAAACGAGCAGCCTTTCAAAACATGATTGCTTATGTAAAATTATTATAAACTTTCACCAATGGTGTGCTAGCTCTCTGAAAAATCAAAGACTAGCTAGCATTTGTAGTGTTTGCCAATTTCCGTGGTGTAAATTCTCCCACCACAGATTACGTCAAGCTTAGTGTTTATAACTAGCTTTCAGAATTCTTGAATATTTAATAACTAGCTCTTGTAAGAGGTGAGGATTAAATACGTAATGATTCTAGAGCACCACAGAGTCTTGCACGTTGCCATTAAGAAGGGTAAATTGGACTTATACTAGTTATCTTGGAAATATTTCTAAAAAAATTTGTTGTGTAAGAATAACAAAGATAGGGAATTATGCCACAGAGTCCCACATGTAAAGCAAATATGCCTGTGTGCGTATGTGTATGTGGTGAGTAGTTATATGTGCTTAGTAGCTCAATTGTGCCCAACTCCTTGTGACCCCATGGACTGTAGCCCACCAGGTACCTCTGTCCATGGGGATTCTCCAGGCTGGAATACTGAAGCAGGTTGCCATGCCCTTCTCCAGCGGATCTTCCCAACCCAGGGATCGAACCCAGCTCTCCCACATGGCAGGCAAATTCTTTACCGCTGAGCCACCAGGGACGCCCAAGTAGTTATATAAGCATGATGAAAAAAGCATGGATGATGCACGTTAGGTTGTTAACATGGGTTACCTGGTGGGTGCTAACACAGGAGGAGCAGGAGAGACAGAAGGGAAAGTGAGAAACAACACAGGAGAAAAATACTGGGTCTTTTAATATTATTATTTTTAAAAAATCACACAGTATATGAAATATCATTTTATTTATTTTACATGAAATTGCATGTCTATATCAAAAATTTTTAAACAAAGGCAAAGGGAGGCAAAAAATATATAAATATGGTGAGTGGTAAATAGTATGTATCATGTGACATACAGTGATTTATTATTGTTAATACTTTGTAAATTATTATTTTACACAATAATTATTAAAGAAAAACAATAAATAAATTAATACTTGAAATTTAAAAATTCTTATTAGGGAAGAATGTGGGAAATAAGGGGAAGGTAAGCAGGGAAGTGTGGAAGGAACAAGCTTGTCATCTGATGGGTGCTGGGTTCCCAGTAGACCCCCAGCCAGGAGGGGAATCCACATGTAGATGGCCACTCTCCTGGAATAACAGTAAGATACCCTGACTTTCCCTCTTCCAAGGGTGGTCAAAGACTCAACCTTAAGACAGGGAGGAGGAATCCTACCACCCAGGCTAGCCAAACTTTCCAGGAAGTAACTTTACAACAGTTTCAAATGAAACTGTTGCATTATTTAACTATAATGTAACATTATAACTATAACATTATTTAAAATTACATGTGTGGATATGAGAAACAAACCTGTTATAGTCACAGAATCACTAAATTCAAGAGCTGATTTTTTGGGAACAAATCACTTAGATTCCTTCATTATAGTATGAATGAGATAATATAGTAGCAATAAAATTTCACCCCTGACATTAGAACAGTCTCTCAAGGTCAGAAACGGCAATCTACAAGACTTTTTGGGCTTCTCTGAGTCCATGCATGCTAAGTCACTTCAGTTGTGTCTGACTTTGCGACCCCATGGACTGTAGCCTGCCAGGCTCCTCTGTCCATGGGATTCTTCAGGCAAGAACGCTAGATTGGATTCCCATGCCCTCCTCTAGGGGAATCTTCCCCACCCAGGGATTGAACCCGCATCCCTTATGTCTTCTGCATCATCAGGTGGGTTCTTTACCACTAGTACCACCTGGAAGCCCTTGGACTGCTCTGTGAACCTAGATATCCCACACAAATCTAGCTCTGGCCAAGCTATGCTGGGGTTTAACTCATAAATCAACTTGAAGGATGCCTCGTTGTGGGTTAAGAATATATTCAGAACCTAGTATATTTGTTTAGCAGTTTGCTAACATGATAAGAGAACACTATTAGAGAAGGAAATGGCAACCCACTCCAGTGTTCTTGCCTGGAGACTCCCATGGACAGAGGAGCTGGGCAGGCTACAGTCCATGGGGTCACAAACAGTCATACACGACTGAGTGACTAACAACAACATAATAGGGCTAATAAAACTAGACAGCATGATAAAAAGCAGAGACATTGCTTTGCCAGCAAAGGTCTGTCTAGTCAAAGCTATGGTTTTTCCAATAGTCATGTATGGATGTGAGAGTTGGACTATAAAGAAAGCTGAGCACCGAAGAATTGATGCTTTTGAACTGTGGTGTTGGAGAAGACTCTTGAGAGTCCCTTGGACTGCAAGGAGATCCAACCAGTCCATCCTAAAGGAAATCAGTTCTGAATTTTCATTGGAAGGACTGATGCTGAAGCTGAAACTCCCAACACTTTGGCCACCTGATGCAAAGAACTGACTCATTTGAAAAGACCCTGATGCTGGGGAAGATTGAAGGCAGGGGGAGAAGGGGATGACAGAGGATGAGATGGTTGGATGGCATCACCAACTCGACAGACATGAGTTTGAGCAAGCTCTGGGAGTTGGTGATGGACAGGGAAGCCTGGCGTGCTGCGGTCCATGGGGTCGCAAAGAGTCAGACATGACTGAGCAACTGAACTGAACATAATAGGGTAACTTGTCCTCACTATTCTGAAAAATATGGTATAAATACCCTAGCCTCCTGAAACACAGGAGGAAAAGGCAGAGATCTGAGTTTGGTTTCCCACCTTGCCAAGGACAACCTCATCTTCTATCCTGGCACCTGGGGAGTCCCTTCTCACTGCCCTTTGTTAGGGAGCAGTGATAGAGCCGTGACAGCACGCCCCCTCCCGGACCATGGAGAAGCAATTGGGATGCTGTTGCTGTTGTTTAGTCATTCAGTCGTGTCTGACTCCTGTGATCCTCGGATTGTAGTCTGCCAGGCTCCTCTGTCCATGGGATTTCTCAGGCAAGAATCCTGGAGTGGGTTGCGATTTCCTTCTTCAGGGGATCTTTCCGATCCAGGGATGGGTCTACTGCTTGGTAGGTGGATTCTTCACCACTGAGCCACTTGGAAACTTGTAGAAGCATCATGCACTAAGTTTGGAACTGGTTGAGGGAAAAAAAGAGTGTGTGTGTGTATGTGTCTATGAGAAAGTTTGTCTGTGTGCCTGTGGGTGTGTGTGCTTACTTTAAAAGCATTTTATTATAGCTACTTTGAGCACAGGCTGACTAGCTTATGAACATCCATACTGATACCTACGCCAAATGCTACTGACCAGCATTCTTTGCCTCCTTAATCAGAAGAAATTAATCAGAGGCCAGACAGGACATTCAGGCAAGACTTTACTGGGGCCCCTGCTGCAGGAGGAGGGGGTCAAGAACAAGTGACAGGTTCCTTGCTAGCTTGCTCCCTGAGAGGGGCTGAGTTGGTTCCTTATTTGGGATGAAGGTAGGGATGTGTCCACAGGTCAGACTAGAGAGGTGGCTTAAGTGGTCTGCCCGCCACTTTAGGTGGTGTTGTACGCAGGGGGCACACATAGTCCATTGCTTTGGCTCCCTACTCTTCTGAAGTGGCAGCTGGACTTTTTGGTCTCTTTATACCTTGTCCGATTCACCCCAACCGTGCATGCACACAATTATTTTCTGTCCCTTACAATTTCTTTGTATTTGGTTGCTCGAGGAGACATTTGTCCAGATTCAAGCATTGCAGCACTTCAATAGCGGGTCCCAGGTCCTAGCCTGTCAAAAAGACAGCATTCAGTGTAGAAAAATGATCGTTACATGGGACACATTGTACTAGAGACTTTAAATGCATAACATGAAGTTCCTCCTTTTTAGAGGAAAAAATCCAGTCTACAGAAGGCATAAGACAAAGGCACAAAAGAACTTTTTAAAAAGACAGGATATATGCGTTGATATATGTGTGTTATCTGAACCAATGACATCTTTTTCTTAGCATAAAGAAGGCTGAGAGGAAAGGCAAAATATTGCTGACGTCACTTCATTTTGACATCTAGTAATTTATTCAAGAGATACCTTGGTTTAAAAATAGTGACCAAATGCATTTCTTTCCTTTCCTTTATAAGTAACCCAAGGG